GGAACAGCTATGTCCGAACCATTGGAGTTTCTGATCTGACCGTTTAGGACAGCCTCAAATTATTACTCGACTTTGGTATTTAGGAAGAACTTTGTGAGAATTGACTTTTTGTGGACAAACGACATAACAAATCGCATATCTTGTAAAACCTGTTGTCAAATCAAACGTTTTCTTTCTTCGCCAGCTTAGGCCTTTTAACACTTTGACAGGGCCCGGCATGGCCAGGTGTTTAGGGCGCTCGACTCGCAATCTGCGGGTCGCGGGTTCGAATCCCCGTCACACCAAACATGCTCGCCCTTTCAGTCTTGGGGCGTTATAATGTGACAGTCAATCCCACTATTCATTGGTAGAAGAGTAGCCCAAGAGTTGGCGATGGGTAGTGATAACTAGCTGCCTTCCCTCTAGTCTTACACTGCTAAATTAGGGACGGCTAGCGCAGATAGCCCTCGTGTAGCTTTGTGCGCAATTCATAACAAACAAACACCTTGATATTTATATATTACCCTGTTATTTATAGCTTTATCTAGAAACTTAAAAAACATTATGCTAATAATTTTGTCATTTGGAAAATATTAAATTTGTGCTATTATGTGGAATTTGCACATTTTATTAAAAAATATAAAAAATTCGTAAAAATTCATAACATGAAAAAAACCCGTCAAAAACTCGACACACCTTTTATTTGTCCAGCTGCTAAGAAATTAGCATTCGTTAAAGCTTTTTCTTATTGTTAACATTTTTTTTCATACTAAAACAGTGATTTCTGTTTCGAAGTTGAAAAAAGTTATTTTTTGTTGCGAATTTTATCTAATTAGCACATATATGCAAATTATTTTATAGCATAGGACCCACAGCTGAACTGGGAGGTCCACGTGAGGTCAGCCTTTTATGAAAAAACTCCTGGTTTTGTTGTGGTTTTCACCTCTAATCTGACCTCTTTAAAATCAGTCCGATTATTACTTTGGTTACACATTCGTCAATTAATGTTCGGAAAGATTATGATAAACAAAAATATTTACAATCACCGAAAGTAATAAGGAAACAAACTGATAAATCAGAACGTTAGTTTATATTATTCGTACTAAATAAATGGCGTTAAAACGCATGTGTAATATTTTCAAAGCCTTTACATCGAAAGGGCTGCAACGTTCATCTTTACAACGGTTATTTTATGCCATCGTCACACAATTTCAATATCTGTAGCTTTTCTCACCCCAAATAAAAAATTACTAAACTTAAAAATATACAATAACTTTCAAGCTCTAAAGTTCAACCCCGAAGCCTATGAAACTCAAGTAGCATAAATACCTAAAAAAATCTTAGGCCTGTTCATACCGTTTAGTGTAGGTCTAGTTTCGAATTATCTGCTGCACTAGGATCTTCAAAGTCTCGAGTTGCATTTTACAGGCAAGTTATCATCAGTTGAAGAAAGATAAAACCGGAGAAAACTAGTGAATAAAATTTTTAATGAACGAGAAAAAAAACTATAAGCAATTACATCTTAGATATTACGTGGATGTAGGATGTATCGCGTGGTAACTTAGGTTAGTGAAATTCTGTAAGATTAGTTCATAAAAAACAAACTATAAGCGACTGATACATCCTACATCCACGTAATATCTAAGATGTGCGTGGTAACTTAGGTTAGTGAAATTCTGTAAGATTAGTTCATCAGTAGAAAACGATGGATGAGTAACAATGCCAGAAGTAAACTTTCTGAAAACGGAAATGACGTTTAAAACATGGAGCCACTTCCGATCATGGTAATGCTACTTTTTACTTATCATCGTTGAAGCTTTGTTTCAGGCCAAACACCTCACATCTAATGAGTGATACACCCAACAAGTTACGTGGCCTTTCACTTAACAGGTGCGAAAAAAAAAAAACAGTAACGTGCTACTTCGACGACCATAAGTAATAAAGACGAGATGATAACAGATGTTAAACAAACAACGACTTGAAAAAAAAATAAACGTACCTGCTCAAATTTCGCATACCAAAAATACTTCACCTTTACATATTCCAAATATTCAATATTGTTTTCTAATCTCAATAGCTTGTAAAAAAAATATAATATCAAATTTTGATTTACTGTCCTATCGTTAAATAATATTCCTTGGTGAAAATGCATATATATAATTTTACTTTATTAAATTATTAAATCGGGAAACTCATTAATGGTACAGAGACCCCACACAACAATAATAGTAATTAAATAACAAAACGAAAAGGTGAATTTTACATTTTCCTATTATTTTAATCATCTCTCAGGTTTATTGTTTTTATGTCTTTTATACTTTTTGGTCTATATTTTCAGTGCTGTTCAGCATATTAATCTGAACCCAAAACTTTCAAATGACATGTTTGTTTGAAGTGGTTATAGTAGTACACATTATAAAGGAATTATGTATGTAAAATAAAAAGGGTCTATTCTCCTGTGGCGCCATCTAGCAGCATCTCATATTTTTTAACTTTTGTTTTTTATTTAAATGGTATGTTTTAGCGTAAATATAAACAATAATTGAAACAAGTTGATAAAGTATAGAACACCATGAATATACAGGTTAAAATACAACGAGTGTGCAGATTACTCCGAGAAAAAAATTAGCAACAAAGTAAGAAGACATAACAGCGTTTCATAAGTTCGAATCAATGTTTCTCGCAGTTGTTATTTTGTAATTATGTTGCCCGCCATCTATCGTGGAAATACGTAACATATAACGCGCTAGCAACGAACGGATACTGATCCAATGAGACAACCAATCTTCAACCACAATGCTAAAATTTGTCTATTTGACAAGCGTGTTAATTAATAAAAATTAAGTTTGATTCACGCATTCAGCACGAAGAACACCCCTTTCTCCTTATACTGCTAAAGGTTCTAAACCTTCTTACTACATCAGTCCCCCTTAGGGGTCAGCGGTATGTTTCCGAACATACAATGCTAAAAAAATCTGTGTCAGAGAGAAGGTAGCTGTGTGTAGCTTTGCGCTAAAAAAACAACAACAACTTATTATATTACATCAGATAACAGGATTAAAAACGTGCATCAGTAAACACAGTAATCAAACAAAGCAAGGCGGTAAATGTATTTGATTTTTTTTATATTTGGGTTTGTTAAGTAAATGAGATTAATTATAATATCATTTTTAGTACCTCTCCCCCAAGAGGAATACCTTTAAATTTACATTATTACTACCTATCAACTTGAAAGAGGATAGAACTGTTTATGATCGTAGTATAAACATATAAAAATATCACACTGAAAGTTAATAAATTTCTGGGTATTCTAATCGTAAACGTCTCATTCGCTGCTCGATAATATATTTATTATCCCCCCCTCCCCCAAGAGGAATACCTTTATATTTACATTATTACTACCTATCAACTTGAAAGAGGATAGAACTGTTTATGATCGTAGTATAAACATATAAAAATATCACACTGAAAGTTAATAAATTTCTGGGTATTCTAATCGTAAACGTCTCATTCGCTGCTCGATAATATATTTATTACGTTTATTATTCAGGTTATTGTAGTACTTTTAGTAGCCTTGGATAATAATAACAAACACGATCACACACCTGTATAATGTTGTGCTTTTTGAAATGAGAATTTTTCATCTGTTAGCTTGCTCCAGATAATCTGTTAGCCTGCTCCAGATAATCTGTTAGCCTGCTCCAGATAACCTGTTAGCTTATTCCAGATAATCTGTTAGCCTGCTCCAGACAGTCTGTTAGCTTGCTCCAGATAATATGTTAGCCTGCACCAGATAATCTGTTAGCTTGCTCCAGATAATATGTTAGCCTGCTCCAGATTATCTGTTAGCCTGCACCAGATAATCTGTTAGCCTGCTCCAGATAAGCCGGTGTAACGGATAATGAAACTGGTCCATTTGTTTTATATTGCTTTTCGTGTTCGACATTATTGCGTGAGTAACATTTTCTGATACTTATAACTTCCTGGTAAACACTGGTGTATCTGAATACCACATGGACTACACGTTACTACTTGGTGTATCTGAATACCACATAGACTACACGTTACTGCTTGGTGTATCTGAATACCATAGACTACACGTTACTGCTTGGTGTATCTGAATACCACATGGCTTACACATTACTGCTTGGTGTACTTGAATACCACACGGACTAAACATTATTTCTTGGTGTATCTGAATACCACATGGACTACACGTTATTGTTTGGTGTATCTGAATACCACACGAACTAAACATTATTGCTTGGTGTATCTGAATACCACTTGGGCTACACGTTATTGCTTGGTGTATCTGAATACCACACGGACTAAACATTATTGCTTGGTGTATCTGAATACCAGATAGACTACACATTACTGCTTGTTGCATCTGAATACCACATGGACTACACATTATAGGGGTAAATACGAGACGTCTGAATAATAATACCTAAGTAACATGTTATGACTACTGAGGAAATTACAGCAGAAATGACGTCAACATCTGCTAGGAAATTCTGTTCATGAATATCTGAAGGTGTGGTTAGTTTGCTTGAAACAGGGGCAGTTCTTCATGAACGGGAAAAGGAAAAATTTTATTCCGGCAGCAAAGTTCTAACATTTACATTATATGTACTAGAAATTCAGTAATACGGAAAAAAAAATAAAGATGTTATTCCAAACGTGTTTATGTACGTATTCCAATTGTGAGCCGATTACAATGTTTGTAATGCTAGAATTTTTCCTGGTTTCACCGAAAGGGAGCCGAAGGCCACCTGAAGGGGGTCACGTGTTTTAACAACTCGCACCCCTATATTTTATTCCGGCAGCAAAGTTCTAATTAATTTCTAAGACTTACATTATAAGTTGTTGCCAATAGTAAGTCAACTATTCTCCGCAGAAATATAATGTTAAAATAGAGTAACGTATTGCTCGTATACATTAATAATGGATATAAAAATATTACTTTCTGAGTGTCAGCCATCAATAAGTGAACGAAAGTCTACATTATCTCAGAGTGTACAGACTCTGAAGAGGAATGTATCTTTTGATAGCTACAGATGATGATCAAATGCCAGCTGGCGAGACAGATCTAATTATAATTAAACAAGACAAATTTGTGTATTTTGCAATGTCTATATGTATATACCAATGTTTAGGTGAAGATGATAAACAAAATGTCTCCTGGCGGATAGGTTTCATCATAATTAAAGAAGATAATATGTGAATAGGAAGATGACATAGAGTATGGTGGTGATTTAGAATGTGTCTTATGTTTGTTTGTTTTGAATTTCGCGCAAAGCTACACGAGGGCTATCTGCGCTAGCCGTCCCTAATTTAACAGTGATAGACCAGAGGGAAAGCAGCTAGTCATTACCACCCACCGCCAACTCTTGGGCTGCTCTTTTACCAACGAATAGTGGGATTGACCGTCACATTTTAACGCCCCCGCGGCTGAAAGGACGAGCATGTTTGGTGGGACGGGGAATTCGAACCCGCGACCCGCAGATTGCGAGATAATCGCCCTAACCACCTGGCCATGTCAGGAAACGTCCTGTGTCAGTAATTTGGAGAGTGTCTTACGACCAGTATAAGTCAGAAAATATCAGTCTTCACTTCAAGCGTTGCTAACCTAGAGGCATTATTTTCACTCCACGCTGCCTCAAGAAGAGGAATAGATAATATTGAACTTATCGCATTAATCATCAATATTTCCGAGGACGGGCGGGGGGGGGGGGGTGAAGAAATTGCATTGTTCGTTCCGTGTACGGTAGAGCTAGATAGGAATACCTTATGACGGTTTAAAGATGATACTGTATCCGAATAGAACAACCTCTCTTGAACTTTGACTTTTAATGTTGACTGTAGGAAAATTATATTTCTAGAGAGACTTTATTTAATGATTACTCTTTTTTCTTTTCTTTTTTTTTTCCTATCAGTCCTTTAAGCAAAGTGTCTTACAGCACTCCAACTCGTCTCGGGCTCTCGTGTAATTCGCAAAATTGACACCAGGTCTTGTATGACTTTAATAAACGAAAAAAAACAAAAAACTGTGGCGTTTGATATACGTGAGGTTATGATATCAGGGTTAACGATAATTATGAATTATCGACTCATAATAGTATTAAGTATTAGCTTTAAAAAGTGCGCGAAAATAGCACTTTTTGTGTATGATTGATTGCATGTTATATATGTGATATAGTATTATTTATAATTGTATGTGATACGATTGAGGTATACTTTCCCGCAGTGTATGTATTATAACTAGAATTTACGTTATTCTTGTAACAAAATGTGTCTGAAATTCTCATGTCTTGTATGAGAAACTATGTTGTAAATCTCTGCAATTAACAGGGGAAAAAGCGTCACTTCCGGTTGCAAAAACCCATCCCTCGTGTTTGCTGATTAACCACAATGTTTCGTGGAATAAATTGGGTAGTTCCAATATTATTTGTATAGCTTTATTCTGTATACTACTTACTGCATTTCCGATGTTTTCAGCTAGACATAATATCTCCTTTAGAAGGAAGCAGTTTGTGTTCTACAGACAAATTTTCGGAGCTTTTCTATAACAGAATCGACATTTGTAAACCTAGGAATCTAGCGTTGTTACCCAGCATGGAGTAGAGCTGCAATAATGTTTTATACAAGTATATGAAAAGGTAAGAGAAAGGAACTTTGAAGGTTATATCATCTATAATGAGGGTTAATCGTGATTTGTAAGAAAGGTGTTTGAACTTTTACGTCCCATCTTCTTACGTTTATACTTATCAAGACGATAATCTATTGTTTCATTAGTTGGATACGCTCGTTGTTGACGACGTTTTCGGCCGTAAACCCAATAATATCTCACGAGGTTTGATCAGCTTAGAGATTTAGGCTATATACTAAGCCTACAGTCCAAAATAATCTTTATAATACATGTAAAATAATAAATACAAATATTAGATATTCCAGTCGATACGGCTAACGTAAACTTTGGACTTTGCCACACCCTCAGTTACATTCTGCCAAATCCAATATTATGATTGTAACAAAAAGTAAAGTAAACTTTTAGTTATTAAAAAAACATTCGCCAAATGTTATAAGGGAATAATACAAATATATTTTGAAAACGATGTTGTTCTTTGTTATTAACCCTTTCAACACGGGATCGACCTTGTAACCGTTGTGTTCTTGTTATAGTTTTCATGCTATGTATCTTTTAAATTAGTTTGTTTATTTGTTTTGAATTTCGCGCAAAGCTACACGAGGGCTATCTGCGCTAGCCGTCCCTAATTTAGCAGTGTAAGACTAGAGGGAAGGCAGCTAGTCACCACCACCCACCGTCAACTCTTGGGCTACTCTTTTACCAACGAATAGTGGGATTGACCGTCACATTATAACGCCCCCACGGCTGAAAGGGCGAGCATGTTTGGTGGGATGGGGATGCGAACCGCGACCAGCAGATTGCGAGTCGAGCGTCCTAACCACCTGGCCATGCCGGGCCTTTAAATTAGTAAGCGTATGTTAACGAAATTTGGCAGATTATCAATAAACATTACAATGCTTTCATATGCCAAATATTAATTCTCAAGGTTTGTTAAGCAATCTTTCTTATACATTGTTTTTTCTTTTCACTTGTTACCTATCCAACATGCAAAGTAAGTTTATTTTAAGATTATTCTTTGTAAGTAAGCACAAAGCTACACAATGGGCTATCTGTGCTCTGCCCACCACGGGTATACTAGCGTTGTAAGTCCGCAGACATACCGCTGTGCCACTGAGGGGGGGGGGGCATTTTAAGATTAAAAATATTTTTATGCATCAGAAAATTTTTAAATTTTATATGTGAAATCTTTATAATGTCGAGATAATTATCAAACGTTTCTTAAGGAAAAACTTTATATTTTATCTGTTATTTTCACTAATCAATCTCTACGGGTTCGATAGATTTGACCGATCTCGTAACCAACATAAAAAAAATAGGAAATAAATATAAATTATGCTTCTTTCATTCTAGAACGACGACAAATTATAACACAAAAACATAAATGTTGAGACTAAATAGCTTTAATCTCAGAACATTATACGGTTATCTACATATTTATTATGCTTATTGTATTGACCTTTCAGCCGTGCCTGGCTAATATTACAGACATTGTAATGACGCGGCGCACATACACACATGTTACCGAATCCAATAATATAAAATTGACCTTTAATCTTTACAAAGTGGATGTGCTTTAGTAGACAAGTAGTCAGTAAAATACAGTAACATTTCAACTCTTATATATTATATATGAATATAAATTATTATTATTTAGAAATAAGTTATTAAACATATTTTTCTTAAAACATAGAAGCAAACAATTATCTCTTCTAGTTACGACCTTTGTACTCAGTTGATGTTTGACATAGGTTGCTAAGCCTTTTAAAATTTCGCACGTGGAGGATATGAAACGAAATACTTTTTTTAGGTTTTATGTATACAGTTGAATAACCAAAAAAATCATAAATTACTATATTGGTATCATAGAATTCCACTAAAATTTTTCAAGCCAAGTTTTTCGGCCAAGTGGTTAGGATGCTCGACTCCCAATCTAAGGATCGCGGGTTCGAATCCAGTTCCACCAAACATGCTCGCTCTGTCAGTCATGGGGCGTTATAAAAGAGTATTCCAAGAGTGGGCAGTGGGTGGTGATGACAAGCTTCCTTATCTCTAGTATTACAATGTTAAATTAGGAACAGCTAGAGAAAAAGCACTCGTGTAGCTTTGCACGAAATTCTAAAAAAGCTGTATTTCTGTCTAAAAAAATATGAAGTTTGGAGCAGACTAAATACACAACCTACATGCCTGAAATTCTGGTTCAAAATTTTTTAAGTAGCTGAGAAAACCACTAGAGGGACGTTCTGAGCTGTCAATTGGTTATTCACATGTCATATATTGAAGAAAGTGCATATAAAAGACCATTTCCAAAAATCACAAACATCTAATTTGAAGCAGTGCTGTGTCGATGTTTAGCTGTGTTTTTTATATTTACTTTTAAATCAAGAAATTGAATAATGTATAATACTAAAATCTGAATAATAATCTAATGTTTTTTTTAGGTTTAATGTATACAGTTGAATAACAAAAAAAAATCATAAATTACTATATTGATATCATACAATACCACTTTTATCAAAATAGGCACCTGCGAGCGCATATACGAAAATAGGCCCCCGCGTGCGCATGAACGAAATAGGCACCTGCGCGCGCATGTACGAAAATAAGTACCTGCGCGCGCATGTACGAAAATAAGCACCTGCACGAGTATGTACCAAATTACGCACCTTGGCGCACCTGTACGAAAATAGGCACCTGCGCGCGCATATATGAAAAGAGGCACATGTGCGCGCATATACCAAAATAAACACCTGCGTACACATGTACGAAAATAGGCACCTCCGCGCGCATGTACCAAATTACGCAACTGCGTGCGCACGTACGAAAACAGGCACCTGCATGCGCATGTACGAGAATAGGCACCGGCGCGCGCATGTCCCAAATTACGCACCTGTTCAGATAAGATGGGAAATATTTCCCAATCTTAAGTTCCATCAGTTCAAATCTGTGCCCTGCCAGACTAATGTAACTATACAAGCGTAATTTCACTTTTCTTGTAGATTAAGAATGATCTGAAAAGGTAGCGATAACTGACGTTATTCTAGACTAGATCCAGAAACCTGTTGTTTGATTCTTTACACAGTTGTTCCGTGGTTGAGTTTTCTCAATATTACATAGAGATATATTATTAAGGAAACTAATACAATTTTAAAATAAATTAGTTTCAGCTATAAGTTTTTGCAACCGTCAGTTCCACTGTGTTGTATACTAAATCTCCTAAAAGGTAGTAGACAGTTTGAAAGAAATGTAGCATGTTACTTTTAACAAATTCTTTAACCTATGGGAGAAGGGTTGAAGTAGACAAGCCCACTGCAAAAACAAGCGAAAAAATGATCCCGTAAATAAAAAACAATAGAAAATCCCACCTTTATGAATTAAGCATAATATTTTAAGTTATCATTGTTAACTACACGTTAATCTGTTAAACTGGTAGTTTTTAATCAGTAGTCTGAGCTGACTCCTTCAAGATGTAGTGGAAAGGTTGCATAGTTATGGAGAAAAAAAAAGAGGCAGCAAAGTGTATAGATCCAATTGTGGACTGCTGAAATAAATATAAAATAATGACCAGGTGGTCCGCGAACAAAAAGGTTGGAAAACCAGACATGTTATATAGGTTTCATGAAATACAGGATCTGTTAGACATTCATCAGGTTCTAGTCTAGCATAGAAACCGTGATGTTAAGACATATATAAATATATATATTACCTCTGTAATTATAGGTATAATATCCGATATAAATAATATCCTTTATGAGTTTTTATCATTTTATTGCCCCCCCCCCCCCAGCGGCACAGTGGTATGTCTGCGGGCTTACGATACCCGTGATGGGCAGAGCACAGATAGCCCATTGTGTAGCTTTGTGCTTAACTACAAACAATAATCATTTTTATTTTTATTACATTAACAAATGTGTTTGAAAAATTGCTTACTAATTGAAAATAAAAGATGCGTGTGTGTGGAAATTATTTTTGTTTTATTTTATTTCACGGTTGGTGGGTTTTTTTCTACTTTGTCATATTTTTCAGCACACTTGAGAGAAAAAGCCAACATAACTGTTCTTGCGAATTATGTATATATTTAATATTTCTTTTCAACTGCCTTCTTTTGATCCTAAACAGAAACATTTTAGCACCGTATTTCTTCTTGTTATTCTTGTTTTTGTTTGTTTATAGAAGAAGGAAAATGATTTACATTTTTGGTACAAGTAGCAAGTTTTCAGTCTCTAGATGTTGTCTGTTATATTTCTTCATAGTTTTGTCTAGGTTTATTGAAATGTGATTATTCCTGTCAGGTGAACTTAACGACATCGCAGTACATGTTTATCTACCAAATAATACATGTTTATCAATACATGTTTATCTTTAATTACAACAAAACCTCTCTTCTTCCTTCAGACTAACCAAGTTACAATACTGAAACGGAAACCTATTGTGATGGAGAAAGCTTTGAAAGACTCAAGAACTAGATCGCTAAACGACAACCACTTAGTTATTACCTTAAGAACGCAGTTGGAGAAACAAAATATACTTATTTTCAATCTTCGCTGTGAGCGAGACCATATGATTAAAGAAATACTTGCTAATTTGTTCTTTATAGAAGATGAACTTAAAAAAGAACAGAGAGACATTCTTTTCCAGCTGCATCAAAGAGATTATGTAATTCAGGAAACTCGGCGGGAGCTAGATTACTGGAAGAATCTATGCTACGAGGTATGCCAGGATAAATCTTCTAAACAATTACCTGCACATGAAATGGTTCAGCAGATACAAGAAAATCTGAGTACACTTGAAAAGGATTGTGTTAATACGTGTGACAAAGTCTGTGCTAGTCAATCTTGTAAAAGTAAGAAACAGCCACTTAATATTCTACTGTATAGTAGTTTTAAACCAAATAAAGTAACCCTAACTAAACCTCAACTTAACAAAAATGCCATAACTTCAGAAGATTGTTCATCCGGTACAGACTCAACCCCAGGTAAACACCAGACTGCCAAACTGGACGTTTCTGGATATGAAAAAAACAAACGGAAATACGTGGTAGTCACGGATATAGGGCGGGAAAAAGAAAACATTTGGAATAAGCAGCGTAAGAAAATTCTGAGCAACTATCGTTCTGCAGTACGAATGAGAGACATTAGATATAAACAAAACTTTAGTCCTTTTGAAACTGAGACGACTAATCTCCCAAGGACCTTACCTATATAATTTTCCATGTTTAATAATTTGTTCAGGAATACATTACGAAACATCCTTGCCATGTTGTGCTCATGTCAAGTTTAATTTTTCCACTATATGTTCTCTCATAAAATAATCAAGTTATATAATATATATATATAGAGAGAGAAACATAACATGGATGTTGATATAGGCAAAAGTTGTGACAAAAGCAGCAAAATAAATGAAAAATGGAGAATTTTTGGTCAACTTGACATTGTTTTAATTCAATATTTTATGTAGTATTTGTATTCAGAGAGAATTACCTTATTATGTATTTGCTATAGTTAACAAATGTGTGCATATAGTTAGATGTGCAAGAAACGTGAATAAACCGTATTGTATTCGGAAACTCAAAGTGCCAGAAACTTTCAACACCTAAATTTGGTCACTGACCCTGAATCTTGTCTAGTGTCCTTCATGACATGAGAAGAAGTACAGCAATGTTCAAAGTATAAGGTGGTCACATATTGAAATTCAAACAGCACTTTCATAATAAGCAAGTCCTATACCATTATATTTAACAGTACCATTAGGAGAAAATCAAACAGCGACATCTATTGAAAAAAATGTAGATTAATAATAATTCTCTTGATATTAATATTCATATATTCAGACTTATTGATTAACATGCAGAATAATCTCGACCAAGTTATTTAAGATGGACAGTTGCAATATTCCAGTAAGACTCTTTACTACATAAAGAACCGTAGTTTTTTATTTTGTTTTTTAGCTTGGATGTCTAAGTATTATAAATTATTGTACAGTCTCAATTAGAAAGAACTGCTAATATTATTCCTACACTTATAATTTTGAGATGGTTTTATATTTAGCTGTTTACGTAATTTACTTCATAAAAATTCCAAATGTGTATATTGTTCAAACTGAATTACGTTTATTGATGTTATCGAATGAAGTCTTATTTCATATACTTCACATTACATATTCAGAGCCTACATTTAGAACTTCAACGCTGGAACTTCATATGAAATACATTTCGTTGTACACTTTAAGAATCGTATTGTGACAGACTTTGGTGTGTGTGTGCAACTCGAAGCTATCGTATTTATCATATTTCCTTGACAGCACTCTGTTGTCAGTACTTTCTTTATTTAAACCACCAGGTCTGACTGTGCGATGGGCTGCCATCACTCTAACACTTTAGTTACAATAACTAATGTCTTCTAAATCGCAGCATGCAATCATTAAATAACCTAACAATTGTTTCGGATATTCATGAAAAGCCACTCAAGGGCTATCTGCGGGTTGTCCCTGATTTTAAACTTAAAGACTAAAAGAAAGGCGGGTAACCAGCAGCACATCACTGACTCTTTGAAAAGTTTCTTACCTCACAAAGCAGTAATTTGTCAGGTAATTTCTACACATTGCTGGCATGAAAATATCTGCTTATGATAATATTGATGCCCAGCAGTTTTGTAGATGGATAACCGTGTTTCACGATTATATTAAATCAGACTAAAACTGGCATTCTATTTTACCCAGAAGGTGCTCATCAACAATATATCGATTTGTCGTAAAGGGTAAAAATGATTGAAACCAGCAGATGACAACAAACACAAACATTCCCATCATGAGACTTAACGTTTCATTAGTGTGTTATTTATTACATAGAGTAGTATAAGCAACAAATGTGTTTTGTATTTTAAGCAAAAGAAAAGATATAAACTTCATCTCGCCCACAAATATCAACATGTATGCACGAAACAGAACAGCAATGACGTCGACTCAGCTAAGAAAGTAACGATATTTGTTTAATTTGTATTTATTTATGTGAATTCTAAACAGTTAACGTTTCCATGTATTTTTACCATGAGACCTAGCTTCTTTCTCGGTTTTAAGATGCTCAGTTTTTTAAACATTGGATCAAACAGAGCTTCCTACTTTATTTCACCGAAAGGGGGCCGCCTGGAAGGGTCACGTGTTTTAATCACTCACACCACTATATAGTAGTGTGTTATCTGTCAGTCAGTCAGTAGACACTACAATGATATCGCATAAGGAACGCTTAACGTTGCAATTTGTGCTGTCGTTACGTCAGTAAAACGTGCGCATGCCATGAATCACGAGAAGAATTATACCCTCTGTAGGCTACAACGCAGTATGACGTATGAACTTGAAAAGCAAGAAATAAATACATTTCTTGCTCTTAATTTTGGTTTTATTTACTCTAGTTAGGCTTCTTTCGTCTTCTACTAATAGCGGCTGTTGGACTATTTAATACAAATTTTGCCAGTGACCTAGCTGTAAGTACAGGTGTGAATGCTATCTCCAAAACAGTAAGAAGAACATTTACATGAAGTGACTTTGCTGGATGCGTAGCTGTTAAAGACACTGCTTAGGAAAGCTAACTAAATTAAAAGGCCAAAGTGAGTGTCATACTTCAAACAATAGGATGAGCAAAGCTGAAGGAAGATGCTTTTCATATATGAATCCAAACCAAAAACATTGTTTGGAAACAATCAACAATAGTTTGTTTGATGCCAAAGAGTAGAGTGATATCTAGGAGATCAGGGTACAACATCTAAAGTAAAACGTCCTCAACCAGTTGTTTTGGAAGACTACATAGAATTGATGACACTCTGACTTGTCAGACTTGTTATCCTGCATGGAAAATCCAAAGCGCCGGTAGCTGATTTATTTCTCAGGAGCGTCAGATTGACAAAGTATGGAATAAAGTTAACTTTAGAAACATAGGTTGAAATTCTTACTAATCATCACAAGTAAAACGAAATTTCCAAAATAATACCAAAGAACAGACTTTGTTTTTACAATAAGGCCGTCTAGTGGACGTCATGAGCATTAAAAACATTCGCGATTTAAAACAGTAAGGCCCTCTATGGACAATAGTGAACAATATAGCGCTACCTATGTAAAACAATAAGGCCCTCTAATGGGCATAACGAACAATAAAAGCAGTCTCTATGTAAAACAGTGAGACACTGCAACGGACACAGTGAACAATAAAAGCGTTCACTACATAAAACAGTAAGGCACTATAGTGGACACAGTGAACAATAAAAGCATTTGCTACATATAAAACAATAAGGCCCTCTATTGGATATAGTGAACAATAAAAACATTTGATGAAATTTAGTTGAATTGGCAGCAACTAAACTTAAACTATTATAAAAATACCTCAAAGCCAGTCATTATCGTTCATATAGTTATCAAGCTTTTTCTTAAACTCATTTAAATTTACTGCCTACGCAACATCCAAAGACAACCAGTTCTAAAGGCCAACCACCCTGTTAGAAAAATAAAGCTGTCGTAGCTGAAGATGACTCCTACCCTGCCAAAATTTATATTTGTGTACCCTAGTCCTACCATTTTCACCATTAAGTATGAAAAAAAAAGATGATGCATCAACACTATCAATTCCCTTTACAATCTTAAACACCTCAATCAGATCCCCTCTAACTCTTCTTTTTCAAGAGAAAACAATTTCGGAGATTTCAACCTCTCCTCGTATGATAAACCCTCCATCCCAGGCACCATTCTAGTAATTCTCCTCTGAACCCTTTCCAACAATTCAATATCCTTCCTAAGGTAAGGAGACCAAGACTGAACACAATACTCCAAATGTGACCTAACCAGTGACCTATAAAATGAAATTATAACCTGTTTAGACTTGTTCACATACTGTGTTTAATATTTCAGTGGATACAACCTAATATGATATGTGCCCTACTACTAGCAACAACACAATGCGTGGATTGTTGGATTGTTTAAGACACTGCTCAATTATTACACCAAGATCCCTTTCTTTCATAACACTGTTAAGGTTATTCCCATCCAAATCATACTTATAATTCAAATTACGATAACCCATATGCATTATTTTGTATTTATTATAATTAAAACCCATCTGCCATTTATTTGCACAATTCACTAAATGATCTAAATCCTTTTGTAAATCAGCAGCATCCTCTTCACAGTTAGCAACACACAAGACCTTAATATCATCTGCAAATTTAAGTAATTTATTGACCATTTCTTCACCTATGTAATTGACGTAAATTAAAAAGAGCTAGGGTCTTAAGACTGAACCCAGAGGTACCCCACTAGTGGCATTAATCCAATTTGACTGAACTCCATTTATAGCAACCTTCTACTTTCTTCCGTCCAGTCACTTTTGTATCTAGTTAACTAGCTTATCTCGCACAACCTATAGCGATAATCTTTTACAAACCTTTTATGTGGCATCTCAAATACTTTCTGAAAATCCAGATACACCAAATCTACACCCTTACTCTCATCTAC